GAATGTCCGGCCATCTGTTCGTGACCTCAAGCTGAAGCGAACTTGGGTTCTGCAGCAGGACAATGATCCAAAACACACCAGCAAGTCCACCTCTGAATGGCTGAAGAAAAACAAAATGAAGACTTTGGAGTGGCCTAGTCAAAGTCCTGACCTGAATCCTATTGAGATGATGTGGCATGACCTTAAAAAGGCGGTTCATGCTCAAAATCCTCCAATGTGGCTGAATTACAACAATTCTGCATAGATGAGTGGACCAAAATTCCTCCACAGCGCTGTAACAGACTCATTGCAAGTTATCGCAAACGCTTGATTGCAGTTGTTGCTGCTAAGGGTGGCCCAACCAGTTATTAGATTTAGGGGGCAAACACTTTTTCACACAGGGCCATGTAGTTTTGGATTTTGTTTTTCCCCTAATAATAAAAACCATTATTAGGGAAACCTTCATTTAAAAATTGTATGTTGTGTTCACTTGTGTTACAAAGTGATATGTTGAAGTGATATGTTTTGTGTTGAAGTGATATGTTTTTACACAAAATTGGATTAAAACATAAAATAATATTTTTTTACATTTCTTTCTTTCTTTCTTTATTTTAAGTCGTTGCAAGCTTTTTATCATTTGCTTATTGGAAATTATTACAATGTAACATACTTGCATGATTGAGTGTATTAAACTAGCATTTTGCCGTGTTTTTTCACGTACTTTTTAAACACAGTAGGCAGTATATTGTATATACTGCACAGTTAGCAGTATGCCAGCATTCCTTTTTGAATTCAGACAAGGTAACAGTGCTCTCTGTCAAGGGTTTCTCCCGTGTCAAGAGAGTAGTTATATAAGGTTTTATAGCGGGTCTCATTCACACTTCCTTTTATAACTACTCATCTGCTGTAATAAATTTTGATTAGCAAATAAACTTGATACTAAGCCGATAGTTATGTCCTAACATTCTTTACTGTGCTGACTCATACTTACATACAGGAAGTATTATGGGTTTTGCTTTGATCTCCTCTTATATATTCCATTAGATGGACTGTTATTGCTATTGCTCACAAAACACATATCAATATTAACGATCCGTCTAATATATTATGTTGAAATATGTGATATTATACTAGACCCGCTCTGCAAATACATGCTTATTCTCTCACTCTTTATTACTATGGTAATAGAAAAAGGTCAACCGAGTCCTGAAGGCATAATCAATGATATAGATTTGCTGATCAATGATAGACAACATGTGCATGAATCTCTCTCCACATGTGCAGTAAACAGACAGACACATTCTCAGTAATGTTCAGACTACACACTTCCATTTGTGTTTCCATGTTATGTATGTACACTACACATTGTGTATGCATGAAACAACCCGAAAGGAATATTGTATCCCACAATGTGACCTCTAGAAATAATATCAGTTGTTATTTTCTTTTTTAAACATTTAATTTATAATAACATTTATTAACATTATAATACAATTTGATTTCAAGAAAAATTGTACACATGCAAAATAACCATTTTGGGCCAAAATTTCTAACATTTGTGTCACTCTCCATTGCTTTCAGACCCCACCTTGCTTTAGAATACAGTGGCAAGGTATGTACATTGTGTGTGTGTTTTTTTTTATTTTTTTTTATAAATGACAGAAGAAGAGGAGAAATCTGAAGAACTGTTTTAGTAATTCTCACTTCTCCATTATATTTTTTTCCTCATTTAGGCCACTAAAATCCACCAGAGGGCTTTTGGTAATGATCACCCCATCACTGCCCGGAGTCTGGAGCTGCTAGCCACTGTCTATGCAGAGATCGGCAAAACAGAATATACAAGTAATGTAACTATGGGAAATGTCTTCAGTATCAAATTGGTGTCACGTGTATGTTCCCGTTTAGTTCCTGTTTGTCCTTATTTGGTCCTTCCTGTTCCTGTCCCCATGTAGTTCTATTAGTTCCAGGTGTTTCTCATTATTAGTTATCCTCCTCACCTGTCTGCCCCTCGTTATCTGCCCTATTTGAGTTCTAGCCCGTTCTGTTCTCCCTTGTCTGGAATTGTTGACGTCAACCCTTGCTACATGTGTTTTCCTGTTTCCGTGGATACTATTAAAGTCTGTAAGTTTGAATTTGACTCTGCATCTCCTTGTTCCTCGCTCTGTGCTCCTCACAATGGTGAACCATGACAGAAGAATTGTTATTAATAGCCTCAATCCAGTGCCGAAATTCAAGTCCTGCTCTGTGTTCTCTGCTAATAACCCGACTGTGAATGATGAGAGCATGTTATGTTGTCAGTGAGAAGCTGCAGCCATGGCGGGGATGAGTTTTGGTGTGCCGGCAGAACAACAACAATGCTCCACATGTTTCTTTTCCCTTTATTTTTTTCCAGTTGATGGAAATCCGTCGTAGCGACGGGAAACTTTATGATCAGAAATTTCCCTTTTTTCATTATACGATGAAATACCTGTTGTTTACAGATATTTTCTGTATTTTAAAGTTACAGTTACATTAAATTTACATATAATTTCTTGTATTTCGGTATTACATAAATGTTCTGTTTTTTAAAAGGAAATTTTCTGTATTTTCACAGAGTAATGTGTAATTTTACATAAAATGTTATTTAATATTTACAGATTATTCCTGTAAAAATAGGGAAAATAATTTTTTTGAACCACAAATCATTCAGTCAGTGTTTTTTTAGCCTATTGAAGATCTTTAATCATGTGAGGGTTAAAGTGAGGTTTTTAAGGTCAAATAATAGTATTTGTACATGTACTGTAAATGATGCATTGTTTATTTCACTACTCTTTTAACCTTGTCTTGCAAATAAATGCTCATTTTAACCATTATTGGGTACAACTCGGATTTAGGATATTTCCCACTTCAACCCGGAAATAATTTATGGAACGTTGCTCTTTTAATGTTTACAGATACTTGCAATGTTTTAATGCTACTAATCGATAGTAACAATAATGTTACCAAGCAGCCTACTTTAAACGTTACTAAATCCAGACGTTACTTCCGGGTTTGTGGTGGGAAATATTCCACATCTGAGTTGTCTGGAAGTAGCATTATTATTATTATTATTATTATTATATATATTTTTTGGAATGCAACATATTAGTGTAGTGTGTGTGTGTGTGTGCGCGCGATGACGCAGATTCAAATTTGCCGCCAATCTAGCTCAGCCCAGGATGGTTGGCTGAGCTGTTTCTGTACCGTACGACGCGACAGCTGACAACAACATGTGTGAAGTAATACTGTTAGTTGAAGACAAGGTTGTTAAAATGGATTGGATTTCACCACATGAGTCTGTGTATGTTTGTATCTTTTCCAGATGTGTGGCATGTCTTATAATCAGTGTACTTACTTAAAAATAATTCCTTTGTTGTTCTCCTTGTATATGAAGGAGGGGAAGAAGAGATGAAGAATTTGTATCCCATTCTCAAATATAAGCAAGAGAGAAGGAGAAAAACAGGTGTTTTCTCATTTTCTTACTCACTGACCTTTAGAAGTACGCTTTTTTGAGGTGTCTTTTCAGGCAGTCTGTGTGGTGGGATACTTTAGGTTTTATGTTCAGGGTCAATTGGTATATTCGTACATTAAGTGTACTTGTACGCTTGGGTAGGCACAGTACAAAAAATATGCAAAAGCATACAATATTAATATAGACAGTCTTTTGTGAATATAACTTTTTAGCAGGATTCTGATTGATCAGTAAATAATGCCTAAACCATAAAAATACCTTTATAATGACCTAATTTAATTATAAATGAATTCCAGACTAATAAAAGTAATTTGCCTTTTTTATATGGATCAATTTAATTAACTATGTAACATTGAATGTGCATTCACACTGTGTGTGCCGTCACAGTAATTTTACTATCTCCTAAGAAATCAGACAAAACATAAAACCTTTATACTGTAAAATAGGTAATCAACTGTTAAAAGTGCTGCAACATTTAAACTAATTTAGCCTATATAAAATCAACCCATAAATTGAATGAATTTAACCCCAAAGGATTCGTGAAAATGTAAATGTATCTACGCTGTTAATATGTAAAAGTGGCTGAGCTCTTACATTATTTGGAACAATTTTCATTGATGAAATAGAGCAAAATCAGGCAGTACTTGTTTATTGAACTGTTGTATTAAATCAATATCACATTTGCATACTCCCTTAATTATTAAAAGCTGTCACTCTCCTTATTGCGTTTGAGTTTAACAAAAGGATAGAAAAGAGTAACTAACAACTACTAAGTGGGTACAATGAGTGGATAAAGTGCAAAAGATTGATAGATGCGTGTGACTGAGTTGGATGTCAATCTGGACATTATCTTATAGAAAGATAAACTGAAGTTTCCTGGAAGTAATAAGGCAAACCTTATTCTAGATTCAACAAATAAATTGAGAGATTATTTGTTATTAACTGACATCAGTTATATAGAATCTAATGCAAATTAGATAATCAAACTGACAATACACACTAATGTCAATGGTCTGTGGAAAGAGGTTTGGAAAGAGTGATATTTAAGTTCCGCCTGCTCATTGGGGGTTGCTGCTGATGTTCACGACACGTGTATGTGTGAGACTCCTTGCTGAGATGGCTTTAATACTGACAAATTCTATGGCAGTAAATGGGTCTGCTTAAGCTACGTCAGCCTTAGGCTAATGAGAGCTGTCCACACTAAAGATGCTCCCATCTACTGCACACATACACTCTCACTCAGATGGATAAAAATGGACATGAAAACAAAAACAAAAACTGGCACACACATGTAAAGTACAGTAACAGATGGAACCTGATCTTTCATTAACCCCTTACAGACAAACTGCACACACTCAAACTGAGAGAGATGGCTACTTAATTTGCTTTCTCAGTGCCTCTTTTTCACACACACAAAGTTAGGGTAAGAAATTGACTACAGGATGAATGAATAAATTGAAGAGAAAGCCCTAGTACACTCTCCGAGATGCAGACAGGTAGAGTATGTGAGAGTCTGTAAGTGCCTGTCTTTCTCTCTCTGCAGGACGTTACCAGATGGCACTCAATCCTCTATGCTCATCCAGTATAGCAACTGGGGCCCTATTAGAACCTGTATGTGTGTGTAGATATACAGTACATCGTATTTTCTCTGACTCTGACACCAGTTCTAAATCTATTCAGTACCCTGCTTGTGTTTAAAGGTTAGAGTTCTACCAGTATGCCCTATGTATTTCATATGCATTGTTGTTTTTGCAATAACGAACCAACTAAACCGCTTAACTAAATTGTCTCAGACCACCAAATGCTTAATATAAGAGAGAGTGGACACTTAAGCGGGCACATTTAATTAGTGCCTCAACGCGCTCAGCTTTAAACATGGGCGTAGAATATGCAGGGGACAAGGGGGAAACGGTGTTACTTGATTAAACTGCGTAGCGTGAGAACGGCTGGACCAGTATCTCTCACACAGCGCTGACAGATTAGCCCGGCGCTTTTGCTGCTCTCTGGAAGTGATAACCAACTCTTGATTCAAGAATTACAATAGTTTTTCATTAGGGCAACAACAAAGGAGAATTTAATAGTTCTAATAAGCTTTAATTGAAGTAAAATATTAATTCAATAATTAAAGCCTATAATATAATGGAATATTAATGTTGTTAAATGCATTTGGAGTATATTCAAAATTATATTTTATTATTTTTTCCTGTCCTTTATTTATTAATAAATAATTTATTTATTTAAATTAAATGCCCTAACCCCAGCAAAACATTAATGGGGGGACATGTGGGCTGGGTGGGCTGAAGCCCAAGCCCTGATGATTGTCCTCTTATAGGGCAATAAATCTCTAATAATAAAACTGTTTGAACTGTACGTTCAAAAGTTGTTTTGACCATATATATAGAAATCTTTAATACGCATACTCATTGCAGCTCTGTGTTGGAGATTTGATTGAGAAAAAAAAAATTAAAAAAGTATTATTCCTGTGTTAGAAAACGTTGTGGTTTGCTATAGCCCCAGATCACTAATGTGTTCTTAATCTGGGCCAGCTCACGCAGAATGTCTAAAACAGACTCATAGAAGTAATAACTTATGATGTGCCAGGAAATCCCTAATATGTACAAATGCATCCAGCTATCACTGTAGCTAAGCTGAATAAAAAGCAAAAATATTTAAACACACAATTGCGACAATAAATGGTTTATGTGTGTTTTTCAAGTCATCTCAAGGCAATAAATAACATATATGAATGCAGTGCTAATTGACATTTAATTTATTACAGTATAAAAACTAGGGCGGGACGATATGGACAAAATTTATATCACAATATATTCCCTAATTTCGGTCGATATGATATAATTCCGATATCGATATGAACAATATTTATCTGAAATAGAAATCTTTTGTAACATTATAAATGCCTTTATCATCACTTTTGATCAATTTTAAGCATCCTTGCTAAATAAAAGTAT